GATGGCAGAAAGCCATAGCTATCTCCCTCAGAACCCTTGGATGAATCCTGAGTCCCATGGACTTCTGTCCTGCCTGCCTGCGGGCCATGTACACATTACAATATCAAAACACCACATCCACCTACAATTCAGTGCTACACCACCAGGAAGTGCAATCTTCTAGCTGTGTTTTTCTAGAGAATTGTTCATATCTTTGTAGTTTTGGCTGGGAGATTAAACAGAAAACCTTTCTGATCTCCATACTGCTGCTTTGCAACTAAAAGTGGCAGCGTCTGCAGAGAGACAGAAGTCGATCTTTTCTTTCCTAAAAAGGCTTGCAACCACTCTTAGAAACTTCACAGTCCTTAAAGGAAAAGTTAAATCCTCCTCCCTCATAAATGTCTCCAAAAACAACACAACACTCCCTGGAGAATCAGGAACTGCAAAGCAGGTCTGGAAGGTCTGCTGTTTTTTCTACCTTCACACATTCTGCTACTGTAAATAAGCTCCTTCTTGTATCAAGTCCTGCTTCTTGCTCAGCTGCAAAGGGTGGGATGTCCCATGGCCAAACGTGCTGCAGACTTCCCCATCTGTCTGTGTTGCATGGATCCCTTCACAGTTGATGGAGGGAAGCAGGCTTTCCTACCTTTCCTCATAAGGTAGATATCTAAAACAGGTCAAATGTTTCTCACAGTTACTGAAATGGGACGTACATGACCGGCTCAGATGTAGATGACTACACTGGAGGTGCTCAGTGTTAGCTGAGATGGATGCTGCCTGAAATGCATATTAAGTGGCACAGACCTTTAAAAACACGTTCCTGGCTCCTATACTGGCCTTCCAACTAAACTCTGAGTCACCAGAAGAGTCCTCATAGAAGAACTAAATATTTGGACATATTAGAGCAAATCTGGAGGGAAGCAAATTCTGATTCTTCCTTGAAATCACATAGCCACCAATACCAAAACTAAGGTGTTAGCTTGACTGCCTTAGATGATTTTGAAGACAAAGATGATTTCTCAGAAACTGACAATTTGTAAAAAGGTTTTGAGTGTAATGATATTTCTTGTGCTAGCTACATCCTTCTGCCAACTGTCAGAACATGTCTACTGTGTACTAGAAATTATCTCTTTCACTGGCTTGTGCATGGTGATTTACAGTTAGAAAATAAGTGTAAAACACTTTGTGTGTGGCTATAGCTCAACAGGCTTACAGACAGCATGGGATAGAAGACAGTAAGGAATCCAACCCCTTGCTCTCAACAAACATGTTCAGAAGTTGAATGCAGGGATTAGCCTAGATACTCCCTACAATATTGCATCAACATCATGTTTGCATAGTTACTCCCAGTCCCAGAACAAATAGTAAGGAAATAGTGAATCAGACCACAGAGGTTTCCAGAAACATGAGCAGACAGACTGACTGAGGTGCTTGTGCAATGAATAAAACTACTGTCACTTCTCCCCAGCCAAACTCACTCTGGAGTAATTTACTCAACGTTGCATGAAGCACCTGTAGAAGTTTCAACATGAGGACATTATTCTGCCAGAGGCCTGAAGTTGAAAAAATATTCTATCATCTGAACGCACGGTACCTTCAAGAAGGATTTTTGCTTCAGGACAGATAATTCCACAATTAACAGAAACCTGTACTTTCTCAGACATGTCTGCATCCCAAATTCATTGTAGGTCAAATTTTGTTATGCTGATTTGGGTTGTCTGTTAGAAATAAGGGAGAAAGTATTGATGACAGATGCAGGTCTAGAATCAACTACAGTAGACAATGAAGTGTTTCCATTGCATTAACAGGTATTTTGAGGTGAATAAAAATCCCTTCAAATATGCAAAAAGATATAAAGAATGTGAAAATATTAAAATCAAAAGCATAAATATTTTTCATTCCATGAAATTACTTAAAATATCCCTGGCTAATAATGGACTATTGTCAGAGGGCTATAATCTGTGCAGCCCCGATTTTTTATTTACATATTTATTCACTAGTGGATCAAGCATAACAGATTCAGCAGCTCCCATCCTGCCATCAGAGTTAAGCTTAGAGAAGGTAAAAGAAATTGCAATCTGTACCTTTCAGGTATGAAACACTTCCTCTAAAACTAAAAAGAAAACAGAAAACAAAAAAAAACTCCCTTTATCTCTATTCCGAGATAAATCTATCTGTGAAGGTAACACACGTAATGAGAGAGGAAAAGGTGCCAGTAGACAGGTGTGACCTGACTTGCGTTAACTATACCTTTATCTAACTGGGTGGAGACACAAAAGAAACAAAATCTTTCCATTTAGCTGTGTCATTATGGGGTGAGGCGCCCTGGCTTTGGTGCACTGAAACTCTGACAAGTGGGTACAGTCATGCTCTCCCACTAGCTTCAGTTGCTACATCTCTTTCCCAGCTTCTCAGATATCCTCACTTTCTCCAGCTTTCCTCATCACTGGAAAATGGTTATGCATCTAGACAGGCATGCCCCTCTATATCCTTCCAGCATACCAGCATATTAATGGTACCACATCTTTTCCCTCATCCCTTTTGGTCATCTGATGGTCTGGGCAATTTGATTCAACAGACAAAATGCAGCTCTCAGATATGCACTTGCTGCTCTCACTGGCTCCAGAAGAATTTGCACGTGTGGTACTAAATGAGGATTTGCTCAAAGGAATTTAACAAGACAGCTTGTCACATAATACATATGCAACTCCGGCTGTGACAGAAAATATGTCCATTAATAGTTTTGGAAAGAGGAATTTAGCTTATAGCTCTTTTCAAAGAATAACTAAAACATTTGGGTGTACAGCAAATAAAACGGCATAATTTAATTTACTGCAATTTCTGAGATAACATAATCATTTATCTATTTGTGATTAGAAGCCATTCTGCAAATGCTTCATGAATTTAGCGTGAATTACCTCCAGAAAAGTCAAAAAAAGAAGCACAGTGGTGTGCAAGTCACTGGTTGTCAGGAGGGAAGCTTTAGTCCTGCAGTCGTGAAGCATGTTGCTTAGCACTCACCATGAGCTGAGAGTCTACTCCAATAGCTTGTAGATATCAAATGTTTTGCAAACATCAAATAAAATATTTCACAAAAAAACCCCTTAGTTTTAATATTATTCCAAAGTATTTGGGCAATACTTTGAAATGTATCTATTCAAAGACAACTGGGAGTTTTCAGCATTTCACTAGCTCAAATTGGCCAGCTCCAGCATAAGTATTATTTTTATCTGCTTTTACCAAGAGAGTACAAAAATTCTAACACTTAATATGTTTAGCGAAGCAATGCTGTAGCTGGAAGCAGCACAAAGGATATAAGGCTTTGCTGTGCTATCCAAGGATTAAAACTGGCAAACGTGTTTCACTAGCCTGGTTTTCCAAGAGTCACAGAGCAGGAACAAGAGAGGCACTGACTGCGCTGAGGTATTTCCCTCTCTGAATGAAGGCTTGCTCCTTACAGAGTGCTGCGTGGTCTCAGGGTCAGATCTCATGTAGAGGGATGTCCACCACCTCCCTGGGGGACTGCTAGAGCACCAAGGAGGCTTCACAGTCTGGTAGAGACCTATGTTCTAAAATAAAACCCGACCTGTGGGTTAGTACAAACAGTTCAGGACAGCTTTCAGTGTTGCCTGTGGTGCATAGCCCGGCCTAGCCCATGCCTACGGAGATTTGTAGCCACCTCTTCCTACAGCCTCATTAGTGTAGTGTTATAAATGCAGTTTTATGAATCACTCCTTGAAGCTTTTCAGATGTCACTGAAGGGTCACAGTAACAGAAAACAGGCACCATATGGCTTACTCACAACATTTTACCCTCCTCTGCCCAGAAGAGCAGAGATCTACCCCAAACCCTCCAGCATTTCACAGCCATAGGGAGCCAGGGACAGGGGCTCAGGACACCTGTGTTTATGTCTAAGCTGCCTACTGCAGCAGGAGCTCCTGGACTGATTTTAATGGCACTTATATATGGCTCTATGAGATGTGGACTGACTCCAAACCCCAGATTACAGCTCTGCAGCATACACTCTCATTTGCTCCTCCTTGAAAATCTCCCTTCACAGCTGATAAGGATCCTTACCGGTAATGGGATCTGGGCAGCTGCAATCAAAAACTAACCATCTGCTGGCACTTAGGAGGGATTTTCAATAATCTGGAATACAGGTTGAATTTTCTATGTATAAATACTGGATGCAACAATGTGATTAATAACAAAGTTATCTCCTGTGATGAAACATGAAAGTTTGGTCCCGAGCCAGCACTGAGAGGTGAGGGGAGCTAAGCTCAGGCAGGGTGATTACGGCTCCTTCTCCCCTGAGTTTGCAGGTCTGACCAAGCGCCACTCAGGTCTCAGCTCTTTTTTTTAGGCTTTGTCAATCAGGTTTAAATCTAATCTCTATTAGTCTAGCCCAGAGTTAGTGGTTGGAGATGGTGGTACGAGAAATGGTATCAAGAGGCACTACAGAGAGAAACCCACAGGAAAAACCCAATCCCAAGTGGAGAGTTTCAGAAACTCCTGGTGTTCTTTTTCTAACATAGATCAGGCTCCTCACATGACAGGCGAGACAGAGCGCCTGTCATACCAAGGACAGCCCTTCCCAGACTAGCAATGAGACATGCCCTCTGGTGAGAAACTGGTGGAATAAAACAGAAAAATCCCCAAATTTTGCAGGCCTCCCAGATTTATCAGCCCACTGTTAGGACTGGTGATCTTTTCCCCATTTGGTGGAAGACTTAGGGCCAGCCTCTGTCTACGGAGAGACAAGTCCTTTAGCTGAGCTGGCGTGGCACAGGGCTATTTCATATGTTCATGTCGGTCCCTCCCTGGAGCTCTGCATCCTCCTCTCTCACCAGTCTTTCCCACAGGATCTGCTGAGCCACTGGCTTCTCCTCTGCCTACCTACAAAGAGCTTTCGACCAGTCCTCATGTTTCCTTTGCGACAGCCGAGCCTCCCTCATTCTCCTCTGCTACAAACAACTCCTCTGTGGCCCCGCCATGCCAGGGCAACAGCCCCTGACCCTAAAATGGCCTGGTGTGGCCCAAAGCTTCTCTTTGGCCACGCTGCTCGTCTGGTGGCATGGGGGAAGCTGAAGTATGACATGATAAAACTTGTTTGCCAGAGTTGCCAAAGGTAAGTCTGTTTTGCTTCCTTGTTTGCGGCACCTTGACAAGGTCAGGTCGAAGCATCTGGCAATGAGTGACTAACTCAAGGCCTCTGCGTGAGTCAGCAGTGCAGCCTGGCAGGGCTCAGGAATGCTGATTGCTGGTCTTGCAGTCACCACTAGATCATGCTTTCCCCGTGGCTGCCCTAGCAAAGCTCTCACGGGTGAGTACAGTGCAGAAATATCTCCCGTAATGAAGATTTGCCACTGCAATTCTTGGCAAAGCTGAACTGCAGATTTACGAGGCTCTGTTCAGAACTTCTCTAATTCCTCTTTTGAAACCCCATTACCTCCATCTGTGTTGCCTTTTGCATCAATCAGCCACTTTTACTTGATGGGCTGTTTTTGTGTTTGTTTTGTTTCTTGCAAACTCTGATAGAATTTTGCCAACTGAATTTTGTAGACTCCTTCATTACTCACATCTTGTGTGCAAACAAATGCAGACTGCATAAGGAAAAAATACAAATCAGCACAATTTAGTTTTTTTCTAAGAAAGCAAAGAAGTTCTGAGTTCTACCCAAAGCAAAGCCGTTTTATTGCTAAAAGCAGTATTAACCAAAAAAGATGGCAGTACAACACCAAAATGATTCAGAAATATTACCCAGAAAATCTTTTTCCAGCCTCAGAACTGATTCTTTTGTAGTTTCCATTTCAATTCTATTCAGTGGCTGAGGGTCTGATTGAGCCTGATGATGAAGAGTGGCCAAACTTAAGCCTATTAGGACTGCCAAGGGCCTCCATGTCCACTCCAGAGGTGATCGAACTCCAGTAACTCCAGTTTGCAGAGGGACAGTGGATAATTTTGCCTTTATAAATCATGTAGTATGGACAATAGATGGATGAACAAGTATGTAAGCAGACATTCTCACAAATGAGCACCACCCAGGACCATTCTCTGTTAATAAGGCTCTCTGGGATGGAGCAGCCCACACCCATTATATTCAACTCTCTTAACTTCTAAAGCAGGGTATCTACTGGAAATTGGACCTTGACTGTGCTAGCTCCTAAATCCCTTGGAAAAATATTGGTCATCCTCAGGCTGGGAATCGTTTAACAAATGAGCAGTGTTGAAGACCAGGCGCAAGACACTGGGAGTGTGCTTGTCACTATCTAATTAATTAATACAGGAGAAGGGGGGAATTCCATGAAACACCAGCTTCAACTGTGCACTGGGCTAAGACATTATACAACATTACATATGTGCACAGGGCTTGTTCCCATCCCTTTCTTAAAGGTTAGCATCTTCTCTGCGCCAGCTCAATTGCTTTAGCCCCATTTGGGCGCTAAATTGGATCATTTCACTGACCAGCACTGATCACAATAAGCATGTGTGATGGCACACCTGAGAGCGCAGGCAGCTGAAGTGTGGTGGTGCAGGTGAGGGCTAAAGCGGAGGGTCAAATATCAGCCAAATATTGTTGGGGGTTTTTTTTAATCTTTACTATTGAATTACTATTTTTAGAACTTACAGGACTTGGTCTATTCATCCAGCAAGTTACATGAGATATGCTGACATCTAAAAGGAAAGAAAAATTACCATGTGATCACTTTTGAATTAAGTTTGTCTGGTGACATGAATTTTCTGAAGTGTTTTGTCACCAGACATTACATTGTAAAAATATTCTTGGTCATTTCAGATTACGTGGAATTTTTGACTTTTGATTGTGGCAACTTCAAATTCCCTTGACAAAGAAGATTCCTCTTTTTTTTTTTTTTTTTCTTTTCCAATTTACAGCAAAACAGTCTGATCAAAAAAGTTCCGGTCCCATACCTTTTAGCCAGATTTTATCTTGTATTATAGAAATGCATTTCTTTCAAAACAGAACAAAAAATGTAATAGAGTTTTTGTCATGTGTTTTAATAGTAAATGTTATTTATGATAACTATCAGAAAAAATAATGTCATCTAATGGTCACAAGAGATCAATCATCATCCTGCAGTGCTGCTCCTAGTTGTCATCTCCTTTGGGAAGAAATAAGAACTGGAGACTGGGGTTGAAATCCCAGCTGAAAAAGCTCTCTGAATATAGCTGTGTAGCAGTAACACCATTGTATCCCTCTGATGAACCATCGTGTTGTAACCACATGATCATTTGCTTCCTTCAAAAAGCACAGCTTAACTAATGCATTTTTCTGTATGCCGTATGAGTTTTGACTGCTTATCTATTATATTTCTTATGTTTGGGGAAAGGGTGGAATATGTTCAATAAGTAGTGACACTTCACTTCATGGGTGCAGTGACAAATCCAGCTTCAACGTGTCCCATATGATATGTGAATGCATTTTTTCCCCCAAGGATGGCTCCCAGACACAACAAGCCTAATGAAGTTTGCTTTCACTCCGTAGTAGCAGGCACTACATGGCTCCTACTAATTTACTCTCTTTGTGTGACTGCTTTTTAGGGCCAGCTTTTTTCTTCCCCTGCTCCTTGGGGTACTGGAGCTACAGGAACTAATTCTGACCAGCTTTGCCCACCACCAGCCCCACTGCAAGCCATAGTGAAGCCTGGTAGTTTTGCAAAGCTTTGTTTCTTCTCCCTGTCTCTTCTTCCGATGGGTGAAGTTTAACTAGCATTACTGACAACAAGGACTGGCAATGTAGTAATTGGGGAAGAAATCTTGCCTTTGCCCTTCAAGCACATAGTAGCATAATCAGCTCTGAGTACATCCTTTCTATCCAGCTAATGCAGAGCACCAAGATTTTCACACCTGAACAAATTAAAGAAGTTAGTCAGAAGCTATCTACAGACTCATCTAATAGAAGTTGGATCCTAACTGTGTCCTACCCTGGATTCAGGACAAGACATATGATAGAAACAGTTTAGATTTTAAGTTAGCATAACCTAAGATGCCCCAGCTAGCATCATTCCTCCTGCAGCCGAGGAGTCAATTACTCAGCAGCCTTATGTTGGCATAGCCTTGAAGCCGGTCACAGGATATAGCCCAGCATGAGGACAAGTGTCAGACTGTTCACAAGAGTCACAGTCTGGCCACTCCAGTTTAGACAAATTGGTTTCCATCAGTGCCTTTTGAGCAGACATCCATTCCCCTCCTCTGGGAGTCAGTGCTGATACTGTCAGCAATGAGATGCTGTTACTCTAATTTAGGGAAGTACCCAGAGTCCTGGTTGCACCAAAATAATGTAAGCTGTTGCCTACAAGAGGCATCAACTACGTATTGGTGTGAAACCACACTCGTGTCATTCGGCCCTCCACTTTTTTCTGTTGCCCCAAAAGACAGTGGGGGTTACGGATTTATCCAGCTCCGTATGTGGATACTATGAAATTGGACTTGTATGACAGCAATGCGTTACATAAAATAGTCCTAACTCTCTACAGCAGTATCACTGCCATCAGCTTATTCCTGAGTATTGAGAAGAGCAGAGACAGTCACAAGTGAGTCCTACAACAGAAAGACGTTATGCTATTGTATGAAGAGACTTTCCTGTAGACTTTGGTTGAAGTTACGAAAACACAACTGGCACACTGAGTCAGCTGTTTGCAAGAGCTCCAGGGGCTCCTGACAGATGCCAAGCACTCACTTGCTACAACACCCCACCACTTCCACTTCCAGGACCCTTCCTCCCTATTCTGACAGATGATGACCGGTTCCCCATAATACAAGTTTTTGTCAACTCTTGTCTGGACTAAAGAAATGACATGTATATGAGCAAGAAGTCACGAGCCCTTAGCAAATTCCAGCAAGTACAGAAGGCTGTGACACTCCTCCTCACCAGCACAGACTAAAACAAGTATCCTCTTTCAGTGTTTTCATACAATGCTGAGTCCAGCCCAAGTCTCTTGTCTCTGAAGCACTTTGGCTTGGGTGACAAATTCACCTCAAGTTCCCATGTGAACACTGTGACAACCAGCTTTGCTCTTCACTTGAAAGAGAATTTCCCATAACGATAAACATCATCTTATGGGGAATGAACACCCCAAAAACTATGAACAGTACAAGCCTGCATCATTTGTGCCAAGTGCAAGGCCTCTGCTTTAAGCCTCACTTTTTCTAACGTACACGAATAGTAGCACGTGCATTTAAAACAAAACTTCTGCCAAACAAAGTAGCCATGCACTGCAGGTAGAACTTTCACCTTGGGGAAGGGACAGGAGAGAAAGCATGTCACTCATGGTACACTTCTCATGACATTCAGCGCATGGCTGGAAAGCCCGTAACTACCAAACTGCTCTCAGTAAAACACACTAGAGAACCCAGCGAGTCCCCGTGCAGCCTATGCTTTGCTGTTTATAAAAGCCTAGATTTTATTGTTTATAAGCATTCATGGTTATCACATTGTCTCTCATGAGCTTGATACGAGAATGCTTGAAGGTTGAACAATTATTTTGGTAAGCCGAGTAGGTCCTATCATCCCTCATCTGCTGTAGGTAAATGCACAGCAGCCCTATCCATGTGGAAAGCTAACCTTAGCAGCAGTCCGTGTTGTTCCAAGCTCAGGCAGTCAGAACACAGCAGACCTCCGGTATCCAGCAGCCTCTCCAAGGATTAAAAGCAAGTAAGGGGGTGGTGTTAACTGCCTTTGTTCACAAGTGGTAGCAATATTTCTGATTTAAACTCTGGATATTTTGATCCATATTCAAATACGTGTAATATTAAGACATGGTGACAAAGCTTTTTTCACATGTGCTACTGCATATGTCAATGCAGCTGTGACCAAAATGTACAAGCAAAGGTAGTCGCTTAAAACCTGAAGATTGTTCGCCACAGGTAGGAGAACCCATTCAGGGATGTTAAAACAGTTTCAGATTGTTACCTAAAAGGGAAGTGCTCTTTCCTCTTTCTAAAACTCTGGATATCTGGCCTGATCCCATGGAGACTCCCAAAATACATCTTCATATTATCCCTACTTTCAAAGGGGAAGGGGCAGTTCTGAGAATTGATCAGAGAGTCATCAGGGCCTCATGTCTACTGAATTAATTTCCCCTACTGAAAGCTGTCATATCATGTTCT